GGGTTTGGGAGGTGGGTTTGGGAGGTGGGTTTGGGAGGTGGGGTTGGGAGGTGGGTTTGGGAGGTGGGGTTTGGGAGGTGGGTTTGGGAGGTGGGGTTTGGGAGGTGGGTTTGGGAGGAGGGTTTGTGAGGTGGGGTTTGGGAGGTGGGTTTTGGGAGGAGGGTTTGGGAGGTGGGTTTGGGAGGTGGGGTTGTTGGAGGAGCTAATGTGATTTCCAAAACAATCATTGAGGGTCGATTCGAGTGCAGAACCAGAGAGAGAAAAGAAAAACCAAATCTCGTCTCCCTTTGATTTGAAAAGAAATTTCATCGTGTTGCAATTCTGTTTTTGCTGTTCTCCCCCAGCTCGGAGAAAGCATGAATATCAATCAGCCATCCTTAAGCAGCACTGGGTCAATGAACTAAGAAGCAGGCAAGACACCTATCAGTGAGTACTGCAGCTGGCATCTCAGTGTTAGAACGAGGAGACTGGTTGTCACCAAGAAATAAAATCATTGCTTTCAAACAGAACCATTTTGGTCGGTATTGAACAGTGAAGGTGGTATCTTCTCCCAGAGGGGAAAGATTAAACTTTGGAAATGACTGTCATATAGCTGTACAGCATGGAAACAGACCCTTCGGTCCAACTCAGTACAATATGGAGCTTGAGGAACACAGCAGGTCAGACAGCATCAGAGGAACAGGAAGGCTGACGTTTCGGGTCGGGACCCTTCATCAATCCTGACTTTCCTGCTCCTCTGATGTTGCCTGACCTGCTGTGTTCCTCCAGCTCCACACTGTATCGATTCTAGCTTCTGCAGTTCTTGCTATCTCCTTCGAACCAACCATATATCCTAAATTAATCTAGTCCCGTTTGCCAGCATTTGGCCCGTATCCCTCTCCTGGTTACTGCAGCTCCATTTCCAGGTGTACAAAGTCACTCAGAACATAACTTCAAGGTTATTACTTTTATTGTTCCCTGTTACAGTTCAAACCACACAGCCCCCTTTGTTGGTCTGTTTCCTACTGGGGTCCAGGTATCCCCTTGTCCTCTCACCTCTAGCCCCATGGGTTTCAAACTTGCTCAAGTATTGAATAGAGATCACTATAGGCGATGTTTACAATTGTTTTGGAGGAGGATTTGAGGGGGTGTTTGATGGTGGACAGTGTAGAGGGAGCTTTACTCTGTATCTAACCCTGTGCTGTTTCTGTCCTGGGAGTGTTTGATGGTGGACAGTGTAGAGAGAGCTTTACTCTGTATCTAACCCCGTGCTGTCCCTGTCCTGCGAGTGTTAGATGGGGGACAGTGTAGAGGGAGCTTTACTCTGTATCTAACCCCGTGCTGTCCCTGTCCTGGGAGTGTTTGATGGGGGACAGTGTAGAGGGAGCTTTAATCTGTATCTAACTCCGTGCTGTCCTGTCCTGGGAGTGTTTAATGACGGGGGGACAT